GTTTGCAGTAGAATTTTATATTTTGCCAAATCGTTGTGGCGACATAAGTCCAAAACCGTGCATATTTCGGAAATAATCAATGAATACTTTTTTACGATAAATTTTGTTAGCTTCCTTCTACCTCTCCACCTTTATCGCGATAAAGTTGACAGTTACCGAGATATACGTGAAAAACTGAAATATTGCACATATTTTCCAAGATGGCGGCGCAAGCTCTACAGGTATGGGTGGTGACTTTTTTTTGGTAAGATGTTATGCTAAAAGGAACACGTACACCAATTTTCAAAACTTTGGCTCCGATTCCCGCTATTTTTTCTAAGGTGACTGGGCTATGAATTACGTCACATATTTTAATATAAGGGTAATAAACAGATTTCTCAATTGATCAATCAATAATTTTCTTTCACAAATAACACTCACGATTCTTTAAAACTATCTAGTGACACACATCTTTTCATTTCACAGGGCAAATTATTGAACAATACCAGACCTTTTGTATATAAAGTATCACAGACAATAATATTCACTGAATTTATATAGAAATCATCGCTGCTTGTCTTCTGGTATTGTGACAATGTACATTTTGAACATAATATAGCTCACTTGATAAATACGAAGGCAACATGTCATTTTTCAATTTATAAACAAAAATTAGTGTATTATATGAAACTCTTTGCTTGATATTCATTAATTGCAATGTGTTCAGCATTGTTGTGACTGGTGTGCGTCTTTTACAACCCAAGATAGCTCTCATTGCACGATTTTGGACTTTTTGCTGTGTATTAATCTGTTCGTTACTCAAGAAACTCAGTAAAGTACCACAATAATCAATATGAGGTGAAATTATTGACTTGTAAATTGTTAATTTCGTGAAATGAGATACTTTATCACCAAGCCTGTACATGAAACATATTTTTCGCGCAATTTTTTTTTCAATGTATTCTCAATGACTGTTAAAATCCAGTTGATTATCAATGATCACTCCCAAATACTTGAACATTTCCACTTCTTCAATGATTTCTCCGTTTATCAGAATATTGAATTTTATTTTATTTTTCTGGATCATTTTTGAATTTGCTTTCGAAGATATAATCATGAATTTCGTCTTTGTAATATTAATTTTGAGTCCATTGTCACAGATCCAGGTGAATATATTCTCAAGATATTCATTCAAGAATTTCTCCACATCCTCTTTCTTGCCAGAGAAGTAAAGCAAGGTATCATCCGCAAATAGTTTCAGCTTACAATTCTGGACATGATGTATAATGTCATTTATGAATAAAATAAATAATATTGGTCCCAGTACCGATCCTTGTGGTACTCCATGCAGGACCTTTTCCCTATATAGCTCTGAAACCATTCGAAAACCTTTCCGCCTATTCCATATTTGTTCAATTTCTTCAAAAGTAAATCTCTATTTATAGTTGAAGTAGTACCCAAATTAAAATATTAAAATGAATAGTAGTTAAAAAATTTTGAGAAACATGCTTTTTTAGATACCCAAACTGGAGGAAAATGAATTAATTAATCAAAAAAATAAATTTTCAACTTTTTTTAAACTACAATTTATTAGATGAACGGTTTCAGTAATATTGATAAAAAAACGTCCCTTAGGAAGTAGTTTTCAACAAATATTTTTAGGACCCTTTGATATAAAAATATCTGAGGATCACCTCACGAATTTTTTACCAATGTTTAGGAAACACCCTGTATACAATTTTTTGATGATGATCAATGATTGTTCTTGTTACGTTTGAGTAAGAATCGATCATGTATTTTCACATGGAACTTATTATCGCCGACACAATATTTATTATATACTTCAATGTGAATTTGTATGTACCGGCTGTACCCACAACCAAGAAAGGACGCTACTGATGACTATATCTCGAAAACCATAACTTGCCGCACCCCTTTTTTTCTACTGACCATTACGCCCTCTAGCGACGGCGATCCTGGAACTTGAAAATGATTTCCAGAGATTTCTCAAAATAGTTATTTACGTACCAACGACGACAAATTGTCTATTATAGTCGAGTCTGCAAATTAGTGGTGCCCGCGAGAATCTCGTTTTCGAGAGTCTCGCATGGTCTCGTCTCGTTTTCGAGACAAGACTCGAGACGAGACTCGGACAAGACGAGACTGGTCTCGTCTCGAGTCTCGTACAAGACTTCTCGTGTCTCGTGTGAGAGTCTCGCAGGTGAATATTTCTGCGTGCCGACTGCAGACTTGAGAATTTCATTCATAATACAACCTATTTAGAAAGAATTCAGACTATTTAGCACAGATAGAGAAAACATTTAATTCTTAAATACTTTAAAAACACTATCCGTGATTGTTGTAAAACGAAGTAATGCGTGAAACGAAAACGGACTATTCTCTCTTTAACGGCAGAATAATGAGAGTCTCGTCCCGTTGGTCTCCTGTGAATCACTATGGCCGAGGAGCATATTCATTTTTTTTGTCGATCACAATCACTTATATCAAGGTCCTATTCACACGTGAAATCTATCGGATCACGTGAATGAATAATTCGAAAACAGCAAAAGACAGTTGTTGTCAACTCACTCTCCGCGCGGACCAGGGTTACCAGTTCGATTTTTATTTCACCTTGTCAAAAATTCCCATTTATTTCATGTTATACGAATTCCAAGAAAGGATAATGAAATTATCTCTAGTAAACAGAGAAGTAACCTATATTCCCAACAAAATCGAAACCGAGATCGAAACGAACATTCATTCTCATGAAAATACTCACAAATATCACAAAATAGGTAGGTATTCATAAGATTTGACTATAAAAAAACAGGAACGAATAGTAAAAATGAACAACAAAAATACAAAAGGAATGGAAAAATAAAATGTTTGAAACAATCTGGTATATCAGAGGTATATACAAAATTTAATTTGATCTGAATCAGATAAAGTATTCTGCTTTTTTGGTTTATACATATCATTCGTACCTACATGTACATACCTATATGTAAATTTATAATTTATTTTGTGAAATTGATTTAAACATAGCATTCCGAAATATCATGCAATTTATAGGTGTATGTGATTAACTGAAGATTATAATATCGATTATAATAATAAATAACTGTTAGAATATTTTTCAGTAAGTTATGAAATGTTTCAGTTGATCAGTAAATTGATAAGCAAATCAGGAGATCTACTGAAAATTCAGTAGATCTGGTCACCCTGTACCGGACGAAAAGTGTTTGCGGGCGAAAAGTACTTGCTTTCAGAATTAGTCGATTTTTCGTTCATAAATTAGGACGTAAGATGTGATTTTTTGAAGGGGTCGTCGAAACATTTTTTTCCCTGTGCAAATGGTTTCCAAGATACAGCCGGCGTCTTTTCTTAAAATTGTACACCCAGTATTACCAACTGGAAATCGACCTCGATCGTGGTCCTTCAGCTAGAAGTGTTCTGGATGGTGTTATTCTGTGGAGTCTTCGTAACTTACTCCATACGCCTCCTAAGGACTCCTTGGTACTGTTAATTGGAACGCAACAATGAATCGTGCAGGGATATCATCAGCTGATGCTCCGGAACTTTACGATATTCAATTCGTAAATTGAATATTAGAAAAATTCCTTGCTCTGGCAGGGATTCGATTTCACGACCTCGCGGTTATGATCCACAAACGATCCATCACTATGATGTACACATCTGCGAAATGACATCTCTGAGCGATGTCGCGATGAGACTACACTGCGATATTACGAATGATCCAACGCTGCGATGTACAGAAGCAAACATATCTGCGACATGACATCTCTTAGATGCCATGATGAGGCTACAGTGCAATATCACGAATTTTGCATCGCTACGATATATACATGTGGACTTCGTATTTCAGAGAATTTGCCAGAAATTTGATACTTAGATTCTTGTTGAGTGAGGAAGAATACATGCATATAGGTACGTTAATCAACAAAGTGAAGCTTATTTCGCAAACATTCGTTCTATCAAACTATTCGTAATTTGTTTACATCTTGCCGATACATGCCGATACACACTGCATAATTTTTTATACAAATACGAGTAACCGATTTCATCCTGATGGAGATGGGTAGGTACTAAAGATAGCACCGCTAAAAAAACGATGGAATTGGCAGGAGCCCGGAGGGATCACCAACCAGTCACAACTATGCATATCTAATCAATATTATTAGATGCCATCAGAGGTCAGTGGTGTATTATCACACCTTGTTTGAAGAAACTTTTTGACGTCAACTCGCATCACATCGTAGTTTTATCGCAAAAACACATCGCTTTTCTATCACAAATAACATATCGCAATTACATTGCAAAAATGATATCGCTGTTATACCGCAAAAAACCTATCGCAGCGATGTCTATGCAACATAAAATGCGATATCGCAGTTCACAATCGTTACATCGCTGCGATATATCTGTGAAGTAACTGTGTTTGCTGGGTTAGTGGTCTGTAACGACACAAGGGATATTTCATTCGCATTCCCCGTTAAACCCGGTTAGAGTATTTCAGTGCGAAGGTGGTGGAAAGCAACTACTTCATAATAATGGCGTCAACATTAACTATATTCGAATTCCTATTTCTTTCACTTTACCCACTACCACAGTTTACCTTTGTTTCTCTAACTTCGACATCCACTCCATTCATTTTCAATTTAATGTTGCCATTATATCCTCTATTTCTCATATTCAACATTCGTAAACAAATATTCAAGTTTTACTTCAACCACCTTCACCAACTCTGAAGTTAATAAACCCAAGGGCAGGTATAGAGGGGAGGTGTACCCAAACGGAAATGACGTCACGTTAAAACACAATGAAATGGGATTATCAGCTTCAACCATGACGGGTAATGAGAATGAAATATCCCTACAGTGTAATATTACTGTTGATCGTACAAAATTCAGTTCCTACCAGTTCAAAGTTAGCCTCTATTACAAACTGAAACTGCATAACCGATATTCACGTTATCCACCACTTTTCGTTTTCCATTTCAGGCATTCCCCTTCTGTTGGACCGAGACTGAATCGAACCCAGCATCCATCTAGCAGGGGAAAGCGTACCTTTCGACATTTGCAGCACCTCCGAACTCGAACCCACCACCATGAGCCTCCTCGGCGAAAAGAGCCAGCTCACCCTCATCTCAATAGCAGAAACGGCCAAGTTCTACACGTCCCTGTGCCTCGGCACCACTGCCTTCCTCTCGGCCTTCGCCTTCCTGTTCCTCATCCCCTTCGTAGTCGACCCGGCAATAACCAGCCTGATGGCGGACTACGAACCAGAACCGGTCACGTGCTTAGTTACCAGACACGTCTACGCGGAGGGTATCTCGAACTGCTCGTGGTCTTCCTGTCGCGAAGGCTGCACCAGGGAAGCGACCAGGTGCCACCAGATCTACGTCAACTACTCCCGAACGCCGTTCGCGAGCTTCCGGCCGTCCGCGCAGGCGCGCTGGGACGTCGCAGACACGCGCTTTCTGATCAACACGGAGGGGTGCGGGTACCCGCCTTCGGTCAATTGCTCGGAGTTCGCCGGGCAGTACGGCAGGGAGACTGTGGGCACTCCTTTTCCCTGTTATTACAGCAGGGTGTATCCGGAAGCGCAAGTGGTGGCCAGGTACTCTTGGGACGATACGCTGAGACACTTGGTGCTCTCTATCACTATTCCAAATTTGCTGTTCGCCGCTTCTATTGGAGTTTTGAGCTACTGGTACTGTCCGGGATGTGGCAGGTCCTGTCAGAAGTACATGCATCATTTTCCCACAGAGTAAGTTTCAAGCAGTACCGATTAATTGTCGGGTTGCCACTGCCATGTTCATTTTGTATGTATGACTCAATATTATAGTAGTGCATTCCACTCTCCAAAGCCGACGGCACATTAGCAACAACATCGCAAGAGGAAGCAAACATTTTTGCAGAGATGCTCGCAGCAAACTTCACCTTGGATTCCCAGGGAAGGGTGCCGCCAGATATTCCACCCATTGAAAGTCCAATGCCCAAAATTGTCTTTCGTCAAAGCACTATATCAGACGCGTTCTGCTCGGTCTATATTATATTACTGATAGAATTCCACCCATTATCCTCAAAAAGTGTCCACCAGAATTGACACCGATTCTCTGCAAGCTATTTACCATTTCCTACAAGTCGGGTATTTTCCATCTTGCTGGAAAATACCTATCCAACCAATCCTCAAGAAAGAAAACAAGAGCCTGCCCAACAACTATAGGCCAATTACCCTGTTATCAGTAATCTCCAAAGTGATGGAGAAAGCCGTCAACATTGAGTTCATCAAATATCTGGAAAGTTTAGGAATCATTAATGATAGACAATATGGCTCTCTCCACCGAAGATCAATTGGATCTACTTGCCTACGTCATCACCCATATATGGCAAGCTCCATTAGAAAAACATGGGCAATCTCTAGCTGTAGCGTTTGGCATATCGAAGGCATTCGACCGTATTTGGTACCAAGGACTCCTTCACAAACTACCATGATACGGTTTACCACCTCAGCTATGCCATATATTTTATAGAGTTTTCTTTCAGAAAGATTGCTCCATGTGCTGGTGGACGGAGTATCGTCTGATAACATTGGCATAAATTTCGGCGTTCCACAAAGGATCAATCTTGGCTCCAACATTGTTCCTACTTCATATCAACGATCAATTGGAAGCAACCACTTGCTGTTTCCACAGCTTCACAGACGATAGTACTCTCCAAACTCCCATTTCTTTCCAGGAAACTAATAACTTAAGACGAAGACAGGCCAACGCTGTCAATGACGATCTTGCTGAAATCATAGCCTGGCGAATAGTTGAATTCAACGCCACCAAAACTCGAAACTGTATTTTCTTCAGCAAGGCGGTACTCAGTATGCCTGATATAACAATGGCACCATTCCCACCAAGACCACTATATCTCTATACTCTCTCATGGGAGAATCATGTCCGATCCATCGCAAAAGCTGCTTCACAAAAACTCGGATTCTTGTTCCCTGCGTAAATCTACTTTACACCTCAACAGCTTCTCATGATCTACAAAGCACAGATACGGCCAGTTTCAGAATACTGTTCTCATGTATGGGGTTCACCACACGAAAATACGCTGATGCTCTTAGATTCCATCCAGAGAAGAGTAATTCGCCTGGTGGGTGATGCCACACTCACCAACTCTTTGACCCCAATAGAACACCGTGGAAAACATGCATGGTGACTTTTCACTTTTCAGTAGATAATTCCACGGCAAATGTTCCTCGATACTTTGGAGGTCCTGTTTGTGATGTGGAACATATATACACCTCTATGAGTAGATCATTCGGGAACGTAGTCACTGCATTTTTTATCAGTCAGCTTGACTTGTTCCCGAATGATCTACTCATAGAGGTGTATGTTACTTCCTCACAAAATATTAACAAAGAAATACGAAGTAGTTAATTTAGACTACATCGCTCTTCGGATATACTGATTTAGCCTAGGAAAAACTAGTATATTCTAAAATCGGTAACACATACATTTTATGCACGACCGGTATATTTGATTTTTCATTTTTAATACCTCTTCACGACCTCTCAAGATCGATATAGAAATACATCATGGATGCAGTTCGGAATATCAATGATGGAATCAACGTTACCATGGTAACTCAGTCAAATTTTCGGAATAGGACTAGACTTTTATGAGAACAACAATTTGCTGTCAATTAATATCATCACTAATAACTTATTTTGGGTTTGATCATATCATTTTGCATCTCAGGGATTTCAAGATAACTGTAATACTTGACCGATCACAACTATTTTTATTTATTGATTATTTTGAATAATAATTGGGCCTTGGGCCATATTATATAATCCACTGGCGTAGAAAGATCGAATGGTAGTCTACTAGAAATTACTGAAAAACCTGTGAAATTACTTTACTACCCGATCACCTACTTTACCGCCCGCCGGACGACTTTACTTCCCGATCTACTCCTTTATCGCCCTAGGGCGCTAAAGTGCTACTTTACGCCCGAGAATCTGAGCGATGAATGCCACTTTACGCCCGGTCGTGCATAAATTATGACACTATTAAAGAGATATTTATTTTTTCTTCATCATCATATTATTGATGAAAATTAATATTTGATTCATTGTAAATATGTAGCGTATTCTTTCAATTTTCTTGAATGTGAAGTAGGTAAGTACCTAGTTCCTATATATGATATATGTTCGTTACATATATGATGAATTTCCTATTCAGTATACAGGGTGAGTAACTATGCTGACATGGGCTAATGGCGGATTGTTTATACCAAAATATGACGATAGGAAGAAATATGCCTCAGTAAAATATTGTTGTGGAAAAATATACAGGGCGTTGAAGTTGAATATTTTTTCTCGTTCTTTGCTAATGATTTCACTGTATATTAATCAATTGAATGAAAAATATGACATACACACTTTTTTACGATAGCGTATAGAATGGCCACTGTTGTGTGTATTTTTGTTTATAACTTTAATCAGACTTTTTTGTCTGAATTCGGAGAGAAAGGTCTCAATTCAGAGAAAAAAGTGTGAGTTCAGAGACAAAAGTCTGAATTAAAAAAAAAAAACTGAATGCATCAGAGAAAAAATTGTGCATTCAAGGAAAAAGTCTGAATTCAGAGAAAAGTGTGAATTCAAGGAAAAAAGTCTGAATTCAGAGAAGAAAGTCTGAATTCGGAGAAAAAGGTGTGAATTCAGAGAAAAAAGTCTGAATTCGGAGAAAAAACACTGCATGCACCAGAGAAAATAAAAGTGTGAATTCATCAGAGAAAAAATTGTGCATTCAAAGAAAAAGTCTGAATTCAGAGAAAGTGTGAATTCAGGGAAAAAAGTCTGAATTCAGAGAAAAAAGTCTGAATTCGGAGAAAAAAGTGTGAATTCTGAGAAAAAAGTCTGAATTCGGAGAAAAAAGTTAGAATTTAGAGAAAAGTCTGAATTCAGAGACAAAAGTCTGAATTCAGAAAAAAAAGTCTGAATTCATCAGAGAAAAAAGTGTGAATTCAAGCAAAAATGTCTGGATTCAGAGAAAAAAATCTGATTTCAGAGAAAAATGTGTGAATACAGAGAAAAAAGTCTGATTTCGGAGATAAAATGAAATACCCACAACAGAGGCCTTCCTACGCTTTTGTACTTTTTCGATTGAAAACCCCTGTATCTTTTTACACAGCAATATTTCATTAAACAATATTTGATCCTATCGCCTTATTTCAATGTCCCAATAGTTATGACTCGCCCAAAAATTTTTTTTCGTGTTCATAATATATCTGAGAATATTCCTTTTCAATACTTCCATAGATTTATGTGATTCAAACTTTTGGAATCTTATTTTTGAAAACCTCAATTCGCAGATTCCTGATTAGGTTTTCTCAATATATAGGTAAAATCCAATATCGCGCAGCCCTAGTATACATATTATGTAACATTCCATTCAAGACAGATTTCATATATCTGTTGGAACAATCAACAAACCAAAGAAAGACACAAAATCCCCACACTAATGCTGTCAATTTAATTATTTTTCGAATATTTTTTGAAAGGTTTCAACATCAGAGATGAAGTCATAGTCTTATTCATTCGGTCGATTGCCACTCATAACTAATGACGTCACGACCCAGTAACCGAAACACATAGTTGCGAAATGTCAAAGTTTATCTGTAAATTCTCTAGCTTCGCATCGCATCGTATATCTCGTAGTAAGACCACAAGACAGCGCAGAGCGCAGTTGCCAAGTTACCAACGGATATTTACCGAATGTTTGTTAACATAGCACGATACCAGTTCAGCAGGCTTTTTTATTTACGAATCACTGATTTCATCGTACTATAAACATCATTCTATTCGGATATATATTATTGCTACAATTTTATTCAAAGTTTGTTCTCAATTTTTCAGAGAAGACTTCGACGAAAACACCTACTAGAGTCGAAAATTTCACGAGCATTTGAAATACTCCCACGCCAAGCTTCATCAGCTGTTTTCTTCGAAATTTTCACCATTTCATTACAAGTATTTCACGAATTCCAAATAACATATTGTAAAATATTAGCTTCATAATGCTTAGTACGTTATATAATATTCTGTGAATCAATGAAGTACAAATTGTAAGTAAATGCGAAATTCAATAAAAACTTAGGATAGTATTATACAAGACGGTTTCCTTTTTCTTCAGTTTCGAGAAACGACTGTTCATACTACCACCACATAGAGTGCTTTTCTTCAATGTTCCCCACCCTGGGCGCCATCTGAGGAAAGATGATTTAGTAGAAAAGGGGGTCTTATGATATATCTTTTTGAAGCTCCTGACGAATACTTCGCAACTCTAGTTTAGTCAATACGTTCACCTACTACGAAGTGGCGGATATTGTATTCCAATTGAACAGAATATATGTATAAAGGTTGGTGATAAGAATCTGACATGCGCAAATAGTGTGAAAAATCTCGGACTAGTGTTAGACCTGACCTGAGGTTCAAAAACCATATCAGCCAATGCCTTCGAAGAGGCTATGCGTCACTCAAATTGTTATATTCTCAACGTACTCTGCCATCGAAAGATCTCAAAATAAAACTAACGGAGGCTCTTGTTCTCAGTCATTTCAATTATTGTGATGTATTATATGGCCCGTGTCTAGATAATATTGAAAAAAAAACGAATTCAAAAAATACAAAAGTCTTGTTTACGTTTCATATATGGCATCAGAAAGTTTGATCCTGTTTCACATACGTTGAGAGATTCCAAATGGCTCACCATGCAAGAAAGGCGAAAGTTTCATTCCTTAGTTTTATATCATAAGATCATTACATATAATTGTCCTGCATATTTAACTAATAAAATTAAGTACCGAACCGACGTTCATAATTTGAATTTGAGATTTAGAGGTCTCATCTCACCACCACCACATAGAACCACATTTTTTCGTAGATGTTTTTCTTTTAATATATACTCTCTATATAACCAATGGGGGAGACCACTGATTTTTAAAAACGACATTATTGTGAACTCTATACTGAAAAACTACCAGTCAATTAATTTTGAATGTTTTCATTCATGCTAAGTCGATGAAAAAAATAAATTAGAATATGTTCATTTCAAAACACACAATTCCTGCGCCATTTGCATATTAGTCAATTCATTGGTGTGACTGGTGCGACGTCTTAGTCCCAACACGCCTATTGCCCTTGAACTGACCAATCACACTGCAACACTGCAGAATGACGAGGTATCAGAGAGGGATAGCTACAGTTCGGGACTAATACGTCACGGCTCCACCATCATATATGGCTTTTTGAAATACCGAATGAAATATGCTGATTTTAAAACGATATAGATTCGATTCCCTTCAACTTCAACTCATAATATTGATTGTACATAAAACGCAAATCATGATTCGTCGATTGAAAGAGGTTTGCACGCATTTCTTCCCTCAGTGGTCTTCCCCATTGTCGGTGCCATTGAAATCCGTCAAAGTATCTGTTTTCAAATCGAAACTTAAAAAACAATTGCTTAATGTGATTTGAATTTTTCATGAATTCTCTTAAAGCTAATAAAGATTATAATAATGTATGTACATAATATATAAATATTCTCTCTCTTCTGTATCACCCAATATATAACTGAATTTATTATTATATCGTTTTATGCATAGATGAAAAACTGAAGATATTGTTAACTGTTCTTGATTTGTTCTTTCTTTTGTAACAAAGCGAACGTATACATTTTTTTTTCTGGAATAATATTTGAAGGGGCTGAACTAGATCTTTTCTAAATTGTTTTCTGCTCCTTTTTTTGCATAAGTTCAATTCATCACATTTTTTGTAGAAACTTCTTTCTGATGTATGCAAAAATAAACGATATTATTATTATTATTATTAATAAGATGAAGCACCACCTCATTACCCCAGACAGGTTAGGAACTATTTGGATAATACTTTTCCCGGTCATTGGATTGACCGTCGAGTTCCTACAGAATGGCCAGCCCCCTCGCCAGATTTGACATTTTTTGCCTTTTCTCAGGGCTATTTGAAGCGAAAGATGTATGAAACTGCTTCAATATTGGATATACGACAGAAAATGATAGATATTTGTAGAAATATCGACGTAACTGTGTTTTAAAGTATTCGGTGTAAAATATCGGATACGCTGTTCTTATGTCAAGAAGTTCTACTTCGAGCACCTCAGCTTTATTCCTCAAATTATGAAGTTGAACGCCGATGTATTCAGAAGAATTATTGAATGTTCCGCCATTTTGTAGTTAGTGAAGATATTTACTTTATATTCTAGGGTTGTGGAGTATTCGTCAGGAGCTTCAAAAGGATGTGTCACAAAGCGCCCTCTTTTGTACTGAAACACCCGACTGATTAATTTTGCCCACTATGATTCACCTAACATTTGACGGTACCTACCTACTACCAGGTCCCTAAAAACACGGGATCTTGCTGGTACATCCCGCTAAGGTCCTACAAATGTCCCAATGTTTCAGACTTAGGTGCGATATCCCAGAGATGTTTCTCTTGAGACATCCATCAGATTTTTTCATTGGATGTTCTAGAAAAATCCCCTTTGATCTTTTTTTCATAAACAATATCATGGTTCCATATTTGCTAATCATGATTGACATGATTGAACAGTTCAAACAATTGTGACATTTGAAACATTGAAAAGTTGGTTAAAAATGGAAATCAAAACCGTATCCGTACTCATATTCTTTATACCTATACCAAAGCCGGCTAATTTAATTGATAACAAATTGAAATAATTGAACTAAATATTCCTCAATAAGATTACCGAAGTACCTGCTCAACTCCATGAACCATGTAATAAACGACAAAATTGAAATATATCTCTTCAGCATATTTATTCCTGAATTTATTTGTTATACCAGCCGATAGATGGCGGTACAACTACGTTGCTAAGAGTTACTAACAGCGCCAAACAAATATGAGCCTCAAACAACTGTTATTATCTTCCATTAGTTATTGGACCGCACCGACCTTTTATTTTCGGATTCGCATTGTTACTTCATATCTGGAAATAGGTCGGCCATTTTCAGGATTTCAGATTGAAAATAATTCATACCGTGTCATCCATTCATCCATTTCTGTCATCTAACAAAAAACATCCTAATTGTCTCTTTATGATGTTCCACATCAAGTACCCTGATTGTCTCTGGTACATCCCGTATCATCCCACAAACATTCTGATGGGATGTTTATAAGACATCGCAAATGCTGACACGGGTGTTGCCAGCAACATCCCAAGAATGTCCCAAGGAAAATAGGGATTTTCCAGAGATGTTCCTATCATCCCATATGGATGTTTCTACGACGTCTTACAGATGTTATTGTGTTATTAGGGGTAACCCTAACAATTTCTTTTTCAATTTCAACTCTAACGACAGCGATTGTCAACTTTTTTTAATGACATTGTATTTCTTTCGAATTTTTTTCTGAATTCAATGATGTATAACATTCAGGAGGGGTGAAAGAACTTACAGTCACAACTCCACCACATAAAGAATTTAATAATGACCAACGGTCATGGACAGGGCATGTTTGGAATGATTAATCCTTAATCATCAGCAAATTTATAAATAGAACAAAATCTGTGAGAAGAAAACGACGCTAATGTTAGTTTTTAAGTATTGTGAAAAAGTCTGAATATACCAACAATTATTGGTGGAAAAAGAAAATTAATTAAATATCCTAAGACACTATTTTAAACCGCGCATAGTGCGGGTGGTTAGCTGTTAGGGAACAAACATTATAACCAGCTTAATAAAAGCCTAAATTTCAAAAATTATTTGATTTAAAGAAAAAATTCAAAAGCACTAACATGTGGGTTTGAATTTGTTGAATTAGGTTAATTAATCTTTCACCCCTCCTGATTTATATCACCTCCACTGTAAATTATGGATCACCTACGTTGGATGTATAACAAAAAGATGACTCACGCAAAATTAGTTGAAAAAAATGTATGCTCCGTCGACAAGAAATGGGTCTTTTCGTCAAAGTTCCAATTGAGTCTGAAGGTTTTAAGGCCGGTCCCTATAAAAAGAAAGTCATTATGAGGTTGAGAATATTATTTATTGAAAAAAATGACTATCTAAGGAAACTACAATATAGAGAAAAATTAATGAATAATCCATTTCTTGACGACAAAGCATACATTTTGTTCAACTAATTTTGTACGAAAGTCAACTTTTTATACATTGTATTAAAATATATATACACAATGGCATTTGAAAAAAAAGTTGACACTCGCTGACGTTAGAGTTGATGTTCGAAACATGGTTAGTGTCAGTTTGAAGTATCTGAAGAATCATTTAATTCACCAACCTGTATGTTTTCTAGGAGAAGATACACCTGTTTCAAGAAGGTAGGTACGGATTTTTTCAAATTGTTATCAACAATGATTCAGAACCCACAAGAACTCATCGATTAACACCATTAAAAAACGTTTAAAAATTAATATCACTCATTTCCACCCCGTTTTCTTAGCACTCACCAGCAAAGAAAATCCGTAATAATAACGAAAAACAAACAAAAAGCAATCCATCAAATTTCTCAAGCAGTTTGCTCAAATTTCTCAAGGGGAACAAACAACCTAGTTGAATTCAACGCCACCAAAACTCAAGCCTGCATTTTCTCTAGAAAGGCGGAACTCAGTATGCCCGATATTGTAATGTCTGGCTCCACCATCCCCACCAAGCCCACCATATCTATGCTCGGTATTTCCATCAGCAACACTCTTTCAAGGGATAATCATGTCAGATCCATCGCAAAAGCTGCTTCACAAAAACTCGGATGTGCGAAAAGCTACTTTACACCTCAACAGCTTCTCATGATCTACAAAGCGCAGATACGGCCTGTTCTAGAATACTGTTCCCACATATGGGGTTCAGCACCAAAACATACGCTGATGCTCTTAGATTCCATCCAGAGATGAGACATTCGCCTGGTGGGTGACGCCACACTCACTCACTCTTTGACATCATTGGAACACCGTAGAAAGGTCGGCGACCTTTCACTTTTCTATCGATACTTCCACGGGAAATGTTCTTCGGAAATCTCTGCTATCTTCCCTTCACTAGCAATACCAATCAGACGAACTAGACAAGCCCAGACAGCACATCCTTTCGTTGTCAACCTCGAAAGATGTCGAACAGC